TCCTGCTCTCCTCCCCATTCTGAGGTTTTCTCTTTCAGGATGTTTCCCTGGACTGCAGCGGAAAGCCAGGCACTGAGCAAGCATGTGGCTGAGGGTTGTAGCTGGAGCAGAGTCCTGCTGCCCACCTCCTTCACCTCCCCCTCCTCCCCCACCCCGTGCCAGGTGCTGCCCTCTACTTGCTGGATCCTAGGAGGTCTGGGGAGTCCGGGGGAGGGCCAGGTTGTGGGGGAGAGAACTGAGAGTGTGGAAGTGGAGTGTTTTCACGTTAGAACAGTCAGGAAAGCTGTACCTGTGCATTGTGGCTTTCTCTCGAGCAGCTGAGCCTGGAGGAGATGCAAGCTTCTCTAAGTCACCCCACGAGTCCCCACAATCCTTGGTGCCCTTGGGGTAGAGGAGGGAGGAAGAAAAGGGTCTGTAGCTTCAAATCAAAACTCCTCTCTCCCTTCAGCTGCTCCGTGATTTTAGCCCAAATAATTTTCAACCCTTTCTTTCTCCACTGTGTCAAGCGTGAATTTTTTCTTTTTTTTTTTTTTGTGGTGTTGCCTTTAAATTTTATATTTTTGTTAGGTCAATATTCCTTTCCTTTTCCTCTCTGTCTCCAAGTAAAATCATTTGCAGAAATCAAATGTCTTAAATAGACGGAACTTGGGGTCGGGGCACCCCAAGCAGTGCAGTGGTGAGGAGCACGGACCGCACGACAGGAGTGCCCAGGTTTGACGCCCAGTCGAGCAAGCTCTTTACCAAAGGATTTTGTTTTTCTTTCCCCACCTCCCCACCCTCTGCTTTCTACAAGCTCAGGGCCCATCCCTGACATTTCAGTAGCGGGTGTGGGGACGCTTTCCTCATGCCGTGAGCTGGGGGATTACGTTCAGGCTGGGTGGCCCCCACCCGCAGCGTCTGGCCATCACTGGTGGAACTGGCAGCCTCTCGGGGGAGGTGCCATCCCCACCCCTCCTAAGAATGTCGCCTTGCTGCTCCCTGGGCAGCTCCTGCCAGCAGCCACGGAGCCCTGATGCTGGGGAGAAGAGCGAGGCATTCATGGGTGAGGAAAGAGGCTTCCTCCCTCCCTCCTCCCAAAGACGGGGTGATCACACCCCTTTACCAACGGCATTCCCCCCCACCCCGACCAATAACATGAATGGGATGAGGAAGGAAAACAATGCTTGTGACCCCTTCGTTCATTAGACCCTGGATGAAACAAAATGGAACGAGAAGAAACTGTGGTTCTTAAGTAGAAAACCAAATGCAACATGAGCCACACCAGATGGAACAGCCTGACCCAGGAACCTTCTGGAACAGGTGCTGCAAACGGGCCGCAGCATCTGACCTCCGGTCACCAACTGACCTAGGACTGCATGAGGACCACAAATGGGTTAGGTAAGGTGATGGAAGTCAAGCTTAGAATGAAGTACATACAGTTCACCGAAAGGATGACTTAATCGTTGTCGTGTCTACAACAGATCACAAAGAATACAGAGTGTGATTGCGTTATAACTTCCACTCCCTCCTCACCAGGGAACTTGGGACATCCTCTGCCCGGAGGAGCCAAGGGAATGTCTGCATTGTGGGCCAGTTGGCAATCTCTTCTTTGTCCAAGTTCTCTGCCATCGGCTGATTCTCTTTTGCTTCCACACTGTTCCACATCCCAGCCAGGCTGGGCTGGGAAGGGCTCTCCGGGAGTTAGAACTGCCAAACCTCTGCAGAGTTCTGAGTCTCCCTATAAGCTCATACCTTGGGGGCAGAACTCTCAGCAAGTCTGCCTCTGGCCTCAGGCTGCCCTTCTTCCTCATTCGCTTTGGTGCAGGTCAGATTTGGGCCCTTGGAAGGTTTCTATCCTTCACTGTGAATTGACTTAAATGTCTTTGGTAGTATTCTGTCCCCCAAGGAATGGCTTCTTTATCTCTTTGTACCATTGCTCAGTTCTACACACTCCCTGTTCATAAATCAGCTCTCTGCACTTCAACGATCTCTGGCTTTTGGCAGGAAGAGAATACCTGTCCCCACTATCCAGACATCCCTGCCTTCTACCAAGGCCCCGGTTTGCTGTGGCACCTGGGGGCTTTAGCTTCAATTATTTTGCATGGACTCTGCAAAGATGATTATGGATAGAAAAAATCTGGCTTCTTGTTGTAACTATTGGCAGTAGCCACCATTTATTGAGCACATACTATGTTCTAGGCATTATGCTAAGTGCTTGACATATATTATCTCTAGTCCTTCCAACAAACCTGTGAGATAAGTGTCATTATCCCTATTTTACAGATGAGGAAACTCAGGCTGAGAGAAGTTACCTAAGTTGCCCTGGATCAAATAAGTGGTCAGCAGAAGTGGTGCTCAAGCACTAAAGCAGTTTAGGCTGTCATACTTTAAGGCACCAGGGACTGGTTTCGTGGGAGACAATTTTTCCATGGATGGTGGGGTGGGGAGCTGGAGCTCAGGTGGCCTGGTTCCTAACAGGCCACAGACTGGCACCAGTCCGCAGCCCAGGGATTGGGGACCGCAGCTTTAAAGGATTTCTTGGATTGGCAGAAATGTTGGTAGCACTTTTCAGCTTCTTCCCGGTTAACTGGATCCAGATTTTTGTTCAGATATCAGAGCAATTTGTCTGGGGAAGGTGGATCCTTCCCTTGGGACCAGGAGATGAACTATGGTCAGCCTAGTTCCTTTCCTCTTTGCAAGTGATGGATTTAGCCAATGCATTTGCCGGTGCTTAGCAAGGAGACATAGGTGGAAGTCTGCTTATGGCTTCTGGAAAGGTTTTTCTAACAAACAAAGAGAGATACTTAGGATAAAGTTATGCCCCTTCCTACCTGTGCTTGGATGCTTAAAGATGTAATGCACGGAGCTACTGTAGCCTTCTCACCACTAGGACAATGCTGTCACACAGAGGTCTACACGATGAAAGACAGAGAAAGCCAGCGTTCTTGGTGACATCATTGCACCACTGAACAACCCGAAACCATATACCTGCAGAGTTCCTAAGTGGTGTAAAAACTGCTTCATAGTTTCTGCCACTTTGAGTTTCATCTCCATGATATACTGCGTAAAGAGAAACAGCTTGAAGCCGACCCATGATGCAAGAGCAAAAGCAGTGTCTGAACCAAAGCGAGATGAGACTCTGTTGATGTCAGGATCTCTGTCTGTTGGCTTTCACAGCCTCCAAAGGAATTTAGAAATTGAGCAAATAGCACATATTTGTTGAACACCTACTATTTGTCAGGCACTGTGCTGGGTATAAGAATAGACAAGGCAGGCGAGTTCATTGTGGTCATGGAAATCACATTCTGGAAGACAATGCTAAGTAAACAAATAAGGACGTGTGAAAACACTCTTAGGCAACTTTCCATATATCGGTTCAAATCAGCCCTGAGTGTAAACCCGGACTCTGGGATCAGATAGAACTGGATTCAGGTTCTACCTCCACCACTTACTGTGACCTTGGAAAAATTATTTAATTTTTCTAAACAACAGTGTCCTCATCTGTAAAACAGCAATAATAAAAACACTAACGCATAGGGTTGTTGTGAAGCTTAAATAATAAAACGAGCTCTCTGCACGGTGTTCTCCATAGAGACTGGTGCAGAGCCAGTCTCTCTGGATTCTGGGTGCTCACCATTGTCATTGTCATAGCAATTTGCGCCAGGCGCCGTGGGTGTCGAAAGATGAACAAGACATAGTCCCCGCATTCAAGAAATCTGGGAGGTGAGGATCCAGATTTGGCCACAGAACAGTCAAGAAGTTAGGCAATGAATTAGGAAGGAGACAAAAGAATTCCTCCGGTAACCAGGGTTGGGTTATCCTAGGTCCCCTGTCTCTACTTTCTCCCACGCATGTTTTATAACCATTACGCCTCCTCCGAGAGGGACAGAAACATTCTGAACGATTGCTGCTCGTCTTTCACATATGGCTACTGTTCCCAAGAGAACCAAGTGAGCTTTTTCTTTCTCCAGTGAAGTGAAAAATCCAGGGTGTGGACATCTGGGTGGCATTTTCCAGCTTGTGGTCCACGCTGGCGAATACACAGAGATACTCCCCTGAGCAATCTCACCAAACCCTGTCTCCCTGCCTTCATCCCCTCCGAAATCACACTCACTCAATGTGTTCGGCGTGCCACAGTTGACTGTTAATTGCCGTATCTAGCGAATAAAATCAAGATCAACACCGACTAGCCGGGTCCTCACACCCACACACGTCCCCGCACCTTTAGAAACATTTCCAGTGACGGTCACGTGAGCCACAGAACTCTCTCTCACACTCCGTGTGCATCTTCCCACGGGCGTGCTCACACACTGGCTTTTTATTTGTGCTCCCATGGGGAATATTTCAACTCTTGGATAGGAATTTCATTAACAAAGGAAGGGGAGGGGAAGGCGGGAGGAAAGTAGAGAGGAGGGGAGTGGGAGAGGGCGGGGGAAAGAAACAAAAATAGTTTTTGAAGAAGACCTAAAATTGTATCATCCTAGCCGGAATCTCCCCCACTAACTGTTCTTTATTTGTGCATTCTGTGCCTGAAAGAAAACAACTTTTCATTAATTGGGCGATTGTCCAGGCTCTTGGCGTGGCACCGGGCCAGCAGAGCTGTGACATCAGTCGCCCCAGACCTATGCTTTGAAATGAGGCGACCTCTAACTGGAAGCCCGTGCTTAATAAGGAAGTCGGTGAAAGGGTGCAGGGTCCCCTTTCTCTTCCCCTCCTTCTCTCGGACACATCTCTCTCGGCCAGTCTTGGAGGAGACTCTCCCGTGGCTAAGAAAGAGGACAGGGACGAGAAGGTAGTGACAAGAAAGTTCCATGAGACTCTCAAGAAGTCCCTGCCTGAGTATCAAACCTGAATAACCAGGGAGCGTCGTAACCTCGGCAAACTTTCAGTGGTTCTGCTGCCCACGCTGCAGGTTTTTCAGGTCCTTGCTTGAGCAGTGCCCTCCCAGGCGTAAACAAACGTGCTATCAGCAGCCTGCGTCAGCCTATTTAAGCAGGCTGGCATCAGCGATCGCAGCTTACAAACCCGGGGCTTGCCTTTGCCACCTCCACGTAAGTAACTTTCAAAGGTTTGCCTTTAATGCGGAGGGATGCACTTGTGTAGAAACTAGACCAAAATGCTGCTGTTACTGTATTTGCTCTTCTGCTGGAAAACGGGAGACTAAAAAAATGAAAACTAGCTCCCAAGCAGGGAGCTAGAAAGTGCTGGAGGGTGTAAGATATCAGACCCTTGCAAACACACATGCATGGGGTCGAGGTGAATTTGGAGCAAGGAGGAGTCCAGGTTGGTCTTTTGGCCACAGATTAGGTATTTTTCTTGCTCTCTCCTATTTCTGAAAGACACTTTGCAACCAGCAGTTGCGCCAGGTGACTATGATTTCATCATTTAGAAGCCGATTATTGCTATTCTACATCCCAGGCTTTTAATCTAAACTTAGACATAATATCATTTAAAAATATGTTTTGCGTTGGATGTAAGGGAGGAGGGAGGCATCTCTGGATTGAGTAGAAGTGGCTCGACTTTGAATTTGCAGTGTTATTTTTTGTTTCATCTGGTTCTCATGATGCTTATTTACAACAACGAAAACATTGATCTTGTTTAGATGAAAAGGAATCCCAGGCTTTGGGGTTTCAAGGAAATGCAGGTTTGTGATATTTGAGCACAATGGTATCCAAATATTCAGGGTACACTGTTAATCAAAGTGGAATAAGAGTCATTGGATAAAAAAGTACAGCATACCACATATCATAGCTTAGATGAGAAGGTCTTCAAGAGACGAGGAATGCAAGAAGTTCCCATGACGTGGTACTGCCACTCGGCAGGGCCCTGTAGTGTATTTAGTCCAATAGGGGTAAGTGTAACCAGGGCAGGCAGAGAACAAGACAAAGGTCCTGGGGGCAGGGTGGGGAAGGGAGGAGCAGAGAGTAGAGAAATAATAATTATACATCATATTCAGAAAATGCATGTTGGATACTGTAAGGAATAGAGCATGACATTAATTCCATAGTTCAGCCCTTTTCGTCAAGAAGCTGGTAGAAGCCAAGGACCTTTCCCAGGTATTCCACCCCCATGTGGACCCCACCACCACCCTCACACCCCTAACACACCTTGATGCTCACTTTCTGGACTCCTGGAAATCCACAGACCCGAACTTAAGCTCATGCATTATTTTTGGTTTAAGCTCATGCATTATTTTTGGTTTAAGCTCATGCATTACTTTCTAACTGGGCTGAAGCTGCTGACGGGGAACGTCCAGGGAAGTGGGGGGTTAAAACCCTCAACATGGCGGGCACTTTCTCGGCCACCACGCTGAAGCTCAGTTATAAGTTCGTAAAGGTCTTATTTCAATCAAGCAAATAAGGATTAAGGAGTTTCTCTGAGCAAAGGTAAGTTGAGAGCTGGGAGGAAGAGAAAAGAAGTGAAAGGTGGACCCTTTTCTCAAAGAGCTCGAAATCTAAAGTCCAGGGACATAACTAATAAGAAACCAGACCAAAAAATAGAACATATTGGATGATTCTGTTTGTATAAAATGCTAGAAAATGCAGACTAATTGATAATAAAAGAAGGCAGATCAGTGGTTGCTTAGGGAAGGGGTTCACTGAGGTTTGGGGGGATTTCTCAAGGGGTGCAGGAACCTTTAGGGAGTGACATGTTCACTCTTGTGACTGCAGTGACCATTTTTCATGTGTGAAGCTGTATCAGATTGTGCACTTTAAACATGCAGTATTATATGATAATTAAACACCAACAAATAGTACTTTAACCATATAATTCCTTTTTATAATTAAAACTATTTCTAAAAATCAGCCTCTGTAACAGATTGAAAATAAAAGATGGGTATTTTGGGGGGAAAAAATTAAGTTCAGTAAATAATGTACAGGGACTGGACAGGATCATAGACTTTTATAGAACTGGGAGGTCCCCAGAGATTATCTAACCCCATGGTTGTCGGACCCGGAGAACTTCTAAAACATGTATCAATGATTGGGCCCCACCCCAGAACAACTGAATCAGAATCCCAGGGTGTGCAGCCCTGGCATTGGTTTTTAAACCCAAACCCTTCGCTTGACAGATGAGGACAGAAGCCCAGAGAGGGGTGGGGATGGCCTCTGGCTACGCAGCCACCAAGTCCCAGCAGGATGAGGCTGGGAGGCCCAGGGAGGACAGCTCAGGAGCTCAGAGGAAGAGGCTGCTTCTGGGTCCTCAAATGCACACTTCAGCTCTAGCAGGGACAGGGTACCCAGCGCCTTGCAAGCAAATTCTTAGAATCCAGACATGCTTCGGGGCAGCAGGTCGGAAAAATTAGTCAGGGCCTCAAAGGTGCATGATTTAAGGACTGTGCTAACGGGTGAGAAAGGATGTTTCAGAACTGAAGCTTCCTTTTGTTCCCCACCTAACATCTGGCATAAGCAAGAGGATTATCATTATCGAAAAGAAATCTTAGCGGACACACTGTGCACTCTGCCCTGGGGGACAGCCAAGTGGTTCTTGCAGGAAATAGCATGAGTTCTCAGCATCGGGATGAGTCTGTTTGGGGCTACAGCGTCTTTGAATTAGGATTTCCAGGTCAGGCCCAGGCAAAAGCATGGGTGGGTTGTCTTTGTGACTCCCGTCCTTCCTGTCTGCCCCTCACCTCCTCCCCAGCACCTGTGTGGGTGTAGGAGCCTGCGCCAGGGTCAGGTGGGACCGTGGGATGTCACCCCTTCACCCTGGCCAGCTGACATGTTTAGGATGGTCCCCATCTCCCTTTCAATCCAAATGTGCCACTTCAGGGTCTCATTCTCTCAAGGGCTTGACTTACTCATCTCTGGACAACTAATGAAAGTTATATGTTAATAGACAATAATTGTTTAATGAGTTATGTCCCTCCCTGGCATATTAAATAGGTTCCAGCAAGATAACATATCTGGGAGTTCTTTGAGATGTCATATACATATAATTACCATTTGAATTTTAAAATGGGGCAATCAGGAGAATCAAAGTTTTAGGCAAAATATATAATCCCTACTGGCCAGAATTCCTAGCAGCTTGCTAGGGGGAGATACCAAGATTATAGATTTTCAGCAGAATCCTTCAAATTTCATACAATAGGCAACTACTTACAAGCTGTGGGCCCTGACAGATTTCTTCTTCTGAATTAGTCCATTCTTTGTTAAATGCGTTCATACTCATCAGAAGTAGCTGCATTTCATTTATCTTTCTGAAAAAGGGAGATCTACCTTAAGGTTACTACAGTGGAAACAAAATGTCAAGAGATTCTGCTCATAGGGCTTTTAAAATATCAGCGGGTTCCTTCTCCAGAGCAGAAGGCTGGCACTAGCAGAGCAGCTTGCCTAGTCTTTGTGACCAGGAGCCTCCTTCCTTGGGAACCCAGTCCTGCAGCCTGGGGCACCCCTGTCCCCAGTCCCTGTGGCCCTGGGCATATGACAGCCATTTCATCCCATTTGAAAAACTGAGATTGCTGCAGCTCTAGACAGCAAGTGGGAGCTGCATGGGGTGCGTCCTGCCTCTGCAGAGGGGCGTGGCTGGGTGTATAATTAACATCCCTTCTGGGGAAACAGGGTCCCCAGGTGGTGGGGGGGCCCGGGGCAGCTGGGTGGGGAGGGGAGGGTGACGGTGAGCTCCATCCTGAGCCCCTGGGAGACTCAGGACTCCAGCTCTGGGGAAAGGATCAGGCTGTTGGCATCAAGGTGGCAGCCAACACTGGGTCGTGCTGCTGTCGGAAGCCAAATGCTTCTTCCTGCCATTCAGAGTTTCACCAAAAAAAAATTTTTTTTGAAAGCAAATGACAGAGTTTGCACAGCTGATAAAATCGGTTTGTATAAGTGGTAGAATTTCTTCCTTCCTTAGATGACTTTTCCTTGAACATTTCCTCTTCACCTTTATTTCCGAATTCTCTCCGTGTAGAATGGCTTAGTTCAAAGGGTCACCTGGGACATTTTTTTTTAAGGCTGTCTTATAACCTAACCCAGCTTAATTTTTGGATGCTGTTGACGGCTTTCTCAGACTTTTTTTTTTTTTGAGACAGAATCTCACTGTTTTCCCCGAGCTAGAGTGAGTGCCGTGGCGTCAGCCTAGCTCACAGCAACCTCACACTCCTGGGCTCAAGCGATCCTCCTGCCTCAGCCTCCCGAGTAGCTGGGACTACAGGCATGTGCCACCATGCCCGGCTAATTTTTTCTATATTATTTTTAGTTGTCCTATTAATTTCATTCTATTTTTAGTAGAGACGGGGTCTCGCTCTCAGGCTGGTCTCGAACTCCTGAGCTCAAACAATCCTCCCGTCTCGGCCTCCCAGAGTGCTAGGATTACAGGTGTGAGCCACCGCGCCCGGCCCAGACTTTTTAAATGTCCACTAAACATGGACAGTGGACAGGGCTAATAGATGACATTGTTAGCAGAAGCGTGGCCCGCAGCTCAGAGTGATTTATCAAGCACTCACCCACCCATTGAAAAACCAACTGCGGAGGATCCCAGGGCAGCTCCTGGTCTGTCCCGGACCGCATGCATCCTGCCATCTCACCTGGGCATCACCTGCCAGTGGGGAACAGGCCTCAGAGAGAGCTGCAGAGAAGCCCGATGCTGCAAGTGGGAGGCCTGTATCTCCTGGAGCAGGGGGTGCTGTCTTCCTGGGCCTGCTCACGGGGACCCCCCTGCCTCTCAGGGCCCTGATGGTGATGTGGCATTCCGGTGCTGTTGATTCCAAACACCCAGGGGGTTTGGGACGCGGTGGGGTGAGAGTCTGTGACCAAGCAGGTGTGGCTTAGACTGTCCTTTTTATTTGCTGGGAAAGTGCCAACATCCATCTTTTAGCAATATGCTGGATAATCTTCCACGGAACTCCAGTGTGGCCAAGTCCTGCCAGAAGACGGAGCAGCCTGGGGGGGCGGAGTGCAGTTCTGGTGGCAGGAACCTGGGTCCTAGTTTCTCAGCTGTCATGGCATTTTAAGGCGAGAGGGAGCCTGAAAGATTAGTTGCCCCAGTGGGATTATTAATAGAATCCCCTTTTACTCTCAAAAATACCTGGCCTGAGCAATAACCTGTACGGTCA